ACACATTAAAAAGAACGCGTTAAACATGATCAAAAACGATCTACGTTTTTGATTGATCGAAAAAGCGAATTTTGATCACAAATGTTATTGGTCAAAATGTTTGTACAACCCAATCACAAAATCTGAATGATCAACTTTGAAATGGCCTAGAAGCGCACAGCGATAAAAAGTGATAAAAAGTGCTCTTAGCGATCATAAAATCATGTGCAACTGAATCAGACATGTGATCTATCCCTGCATTCAGATTGTAATAATTTTGTCGAGAGTAAAATTTTCTCTTATACAGTATATACCATGTTCATACATGAGTTTTTTAATCGAAAATCTTCTAAGTGGACTATTACCGAATTTTTAAAGAAATGTAAAGAGGAAGCGTTCAGAAAGAAAATAGATTCATATTTTAAATTCCTTCGAAACATTATTGACTCTGAACCTGAAGGAAAAAGAAAAGCAAGAGCGCACAAACTCCTTGATACATATAAGACGGCAAATTTTTTTTATTAAAGTGTGAATAGGAAATAAGTAGCGTGGCTGGAATTCTTTTCGCTTCTTGCCATTCAAAACTTTTCGTTGAGTTACAAAACCAATGCCGAGGCATAAGGACTCTTCTCGCTCACCTGTGTTCAAGTCTTTTTGCCAACTTGATAGGATGAGAAATTTGTTATGATAAATTGTAAAAATGTATGTCAGTTGAGAACTAATTCCTAATCTTTCATTATAGGGTGTTGACCAAAAAGTTGCTAAAAACTGGGAGAAAACAAAAATGAGTGACGTGCCTTCGATTAACGTTCAAAACCCAACAATTTTAGAAAGTGGATCTATTTATGGCGGGACAAATTACGGCAGGACGATTAATGGCAAAACTAATAATATGTTCATTTTGAAAAAAAGAGATCGGGAAAAGGTATACATAAGCATTTTTTAGCTAGAAATCGTGATGATCAGCAGAAATAGCTAATGTTTTAACTGCGAATTTATTTTAATATTATTCCTTATATTTATGTAGGATTTAAATAACGAGATCGAAAACTTCTTTCAAAGTCCTTCTGAATAACAATTACCCAATTTGTTTAGGGAAGCAGAACATGACATTTCCAACGAAATGGTCAACGAGAAGGGCGAGGTATAGTATTTATACAAAGTGAATTGTTCGGTTATCACTATTCATAACAAATAAAATCAGGAATACATACATATTCTTTATCTTGCTTTCACTCTTTGTAGATTGTTCATTGGACAGAAAAACATAAGCGAGATGAGTCTCCTCGTTGCCTTAATTGTGACGCAGAGGTAAACGTGATAAATAAATTAAACTTTGTTATCGTAACGGATAAACAATATTCATTTTTTTTATTTCTTTAGATTAATATCACTATCTTTAGATCAATCAGATTTTGCCCGTTTTGCGGAACTAATATTATATCATCTGAAGATAAATCGTCACCTGATTATGATGATACAGATGAGGAAAATGATGTAGATTATAGGGCGAACAAGATGATACCCCTCCAAAAGTCAATAAGGTTGCCTTTCACATGACTTATAAGGCTATCCCAGACAATTCAAAGATGCGATTGAGCACAGGCACAATAGTGGAGGACGTTCTCTTCAAATTTGCAAAGGATATGGACTATGAACAGTAAGTTTCTTGAAATTTATATCTTTTCGTTCATGACACTGACATACTATTATTATAAGTTATGCCCATTCATATATTGTTGACTTTGACGATGAGGATATCAAAGCATTATTTGACGAGGAGGAGTGGAAAGAATTAACAAAAGATCGAATTGGGGTTCTACCAGTTCCACATGATATTGCAAAAGAACTAACGAAGTATGGAAAAAAAATGTTAAAAGAATTATGTGCCGTAGTAATGACTCCATACCTCAAAGAAAAGGAAGAATATGATGCCAACAAGCATTACGAACTAGAATAGATCCAAATGGCATTGCAACCTGTATGAAAATGTGGATGCTCCATTAATTAGGAGCCAATATGAAGATTGGTTTATAGTTGCACTTTTTGGAGCGTGCATTGATTTCTGCATTAGAGATATCCAATTGGTATTGACATTATGAGGTTTTAATCATATTTAATAGTAAATTATCATAAACTTTGTTTTTTCAATGTGATTAATCATTTATCATCACTGCTTATAGAACTGACGCACCATCGCTGAGTAGTGCAAACAGGAAGAACCGTGACCAAAAAGCAAATACACATACAAGAAAACTTGTCAGTCGCAAAATTGACGAAATAATATATACCGTTGATAAACTTCTTGAAGTTGGAGCCATCGAAGGAGCAAGATCATATTCAGGAGTTTCAGACTAGAAATATCTTATCGAGACTTTTAAGATGCTGAAGACTCTCCGCGACATGTATGCTGATCTAATGAAGGCCGTAGATTATGACGATCAAAAAGCAAATAAAATTCAAGTGATTGGCATTTTACACCTTGGGTTATGGATTCAATTCGCTAGGTTGTGGCGTGCTGGTGGGTCGATTTGCATTTTTCGCAAAGACCCTCTATCTTATAATGTAGATAGCAAGTTTTCAGAAATGGGGGTAATATCCTTTCTCAAGCTCCTTGTATCAATTTATCAGCATAAGGTAAGAAAAAATTTTATTCTTGTAATTATGGTTCCATTTCTCATTAGCTTCCTTTTCATTATGTTTTGTTTTCACAGATTATAATAAAGGATAACCTGCAAGTCCTAAATATTCAGAGCAATATTAAGCCAGGGGATAACTTGATAAATAAATTGATGCAAGTTGGCCAATTTTCTTCACTATCATGCTCCGTTTCTTCACCACCATGCCCGATTAAATTTTTTTCTGATTGTTTCAAGACCCCAAGGAAACCAAGGAAAAAAAATCAAGGAAAAAAAATCCGGTAAAAAAGAGAAAGTTGAAGTAGAGTTTTAATAATACCAATAGTGACACATCATTCCTTTCCGAATTCATTTGGTGGGTTAATTATTGAAGTAAAAATTAAATTAGATGGCAAGGATTAGATTATATTTTTGCAATTTTTATAATGAAGTTTAAAGCACATGTAAGGGAACTGTGAAGTTTAGCATTTTTTTTATAGGAAACAAAATCCAAGATCGTTTTGTAAATAGACAAATATAAATTGTATTATTACTAATCATAATCCTAAAATATTAAATTTCCCAGTATCTGACGTCTTGTAACAATTGAAATCCCGTCTTCTCACACGTACATTAAGCAGTGAAAAGTGCAAGGAAAAATCACATGACTGAGTTTCCTGAGAGAACGGTTTTTTAAAAATTTGGTCATGAACTATATGGAATGTTGGGAGCGATTTTTTATTTGTAAAGTAGTGTGACATTAATGTCACGGCTCTCAGAGTCAAATCATAAACTTTTCAGTTTTCTTATTGGGAGAAGTGTGACATTAATGTCACAGCTAAACCAATGAGATCTGGCAAAGTTTTGGATTTAGCCGAAGGTGCATATGGAAAAATGATTTCGAATAAGAATCCATATGACTAAATTAGCCGATCATCTCGAACATGTGCATTTTATTCGTAATAATTTTCAGGCTATCCAGTTAAAGAAAAAATCTGAAATCTGATTGGCCGATCATCTCATGATTTAGCCGGGCCAGAGGCGTTCTTCGAACAAGACGTTGTATGTAGAAACTCGCCAGCTCCTAGAACTCTTCTAGAACTATCGAGAAACTGGCAGGGATCTAGGATGATACATGTGATATGATACACGTCATACTACAAACCGATTCGAATAAAAATGAATCCAATATTTTATTATAATATAGTTGTTACAAACTGTTATAAATCACTATAAATCGATAAAAAACAGTGAAATTGCTAAAA